TTGGGCATGAGATTCTGAATATTTCCCTACCCTCGACGCCCTTCACATTCGCTAGGTCGAGGATATCGTCACCGAGGAGGTGATCCAACTCGTAAACTAAAGGCTCGAGGTCTTCCAACCTCTGCCTGTCCCTCTCGAGAACTTCAAAGTAAGCCTGGCCCTCGTTGAACCGAGCAGTGTCGGGCACCATCCATCGAGGGCCAAACGGATGATCAGGATCTTGAGGACTTATAAAGAAGAACCTTCCTTTCCACCCTTTCAGAGAGCTCGGCATTTTGGGGATCTTAAACCTACCCCGGGTTGACAAATAAGCGAAACAATTGAAGCTTGGAAGAAATTTAAGTTCGAAAACCATTCTCAAAAGGTCAAGCCTCGGTCTTATTGCTAGAGCCCGACATGCTATAAAAAAATACGTTATCATCCTCCATCCGTTCGGTACGAGCTGGCCGGGACACATGTTGTGCTCGACCAGGAACTCGACGAAGAAGGGATGGAGGGGCCACCTCATCCCCCCTTCAATGAATCTTTGAAAACGACCACCTCCCCGTCCCTCGCACTTGTTACCCTGTCCTCCGGTCCCGGGGATCTAACATCGCACAGAGGCATTAGTCCATACTCCCTAGCAATCTTTACGACCTCGTGCTCCTTGTACCTAGACCTAATGTCGGGATAACTAGCGGCCGGTCTACTGGCTAAAGGAACAGCCATCGGGACTATAGAGTGTCCCATATCCTCAGGCGAAGAGCCAGAGGCCGAGGATTCACCACTAGACATCTCTAAAAGAAACAAACTAGAAAACTTAAATTATCTAAGAGTCACGAGGTCTTACCTTAAGACTAAACCCGAAGACGTCCGAGAATGGTTGAGAGGGTGTGAAAAGTGACAAATGATGTAGGGTAGGGGGTATTTATAGGAGGAAAGGGAAGACGAAGGGTCCCCCAATCCTGGCCGTTAATCCTGTGGCACGTGGCATCCATCCAACGAAGGAGACTCCCAGCCCAAATATCGAGGACACGTGGCAGCCCCCTACTCCTTAACCATCACTCGTCCCTTTCGTGAACCACATGGCTGATCATGCCTTTCGCATAGGCTGATCATGCCTTTCGCATAGGCTGATCATGCCTTTCACATGGCTGATCATGCCTTTCACATAGGCCGATCATGCCTATCACATAGGCTGATCATGCCTTTCATACGGCTGATCATGCCTTTCACATAGGCTGGTCATGCCTTTCACATGGCTGATCATGCCTTTCACATAGGCTGATCATGCCTTTCACATAGGCTGATCATGCCTTTCACATGGCTGACCATGCCTTTCACATGGCTGACCATGCCTTTCACATAGGCTGATCATGCCTATCACATAGGCTGATCATGCCTTTCATACGGCTGATCATGCCTTTCATTAGGCTGATCATGCCTTTCACATGGCTGATCATGCCTATCACATAGGCTGATCATGCCTATCACATAGGCCGATCATGCCTTTCACATAGGCCGATCATGACTTTCACATAGGCCGATCATGACTTTCACATGGCTGATCATGCCTATCACATAGGCGGATCATGCCTTTCATATGGCTGATCATGCCTTTCACATATGGCTGATCATGCCTTTCACATAGGCCGATCATGCCTTTCACATGGCTGATCATGCCTTTCACATAGGCTGATCACGCCTTTCACATGGCTGACCATGCCTCACCCTTGGCTGGTCACTCCTTTCGCATACGTGCATCACCTCCCAGAACCCCGAGGACTTGTTTCCGGCAATGATGCACGGGGGCCAGTGATGATATCAAATATGTGTTAGCCCGACCAACTATCCCGAGGAGTATTTTCCCAACCTTTGTCGTCCTCACTTTTGTCCTCGGGTAAAATGCCTCGGGATTTGGGTCGTCGATATTGTTGCTTCCCTCGAGATCACGACTAAACTTAGTACCGAAAGAAGAGTCATACTGTTGGCATGTCATCCCATCCTGAAAAGGACTCTACCATCAGAGTTCCATCCTAATCCAAACACGTGGACAATATGGAATTAGCTACATCACGACTCCTAACCGCACTAGGACTCCTAGGTATCTCAACGTTGTAGTCCTACCATGAGTCCTCCACCTACCTCTATAAATATAACACCATAAGTCATTATTCAGGTACACAAAATTTTACACACAAGTTACAGCATATATTACTTTCATAAATTCTCTCTCTAACTTAAGCATCGGAGGGGCGACGAGGACACACCTCGACGCCTTTGTTTCAGGTACCAGAAGACCACGTTCGTGCCCATCCTCAGTCGTCAAGCTCGGAAGTCGACAGGTGCGATTTTTGGTAGCATCATTGGCGCCGTATCTAACTTAAGTATCAGATGGACGACGAGAACACACATCGACGCCTTTGTTTCAGGTACCGGAAGACTTCGTTCGTGCTCATTCTCAGTCGTCAAGCTCGAAAGTCGACAGGTGCGATTTTTGGTAGCATCAGAGATAATCAAAACGTAAAATTTTTTATGCAGATAACATAAGAAAAAGTTTAGTGAGCATTTGTTTAGCCCCCCGTTTGACAATCACTATTTTCAAACTATTTTTTTAATAAATATTGATTTTCAACTATACATTCACACAATAAAATATTATGTGCATAAACCCGAATTTTTTTTTCTATTTTTAACCACACATTCTCCTAAATTTTTTTTTTTATACATACTCATTTTCAACTATAGATATTCACACAATAAAATAATTTGCATGTAAACATATATATTTTTTTAAACTTTTAACCACGCATGCTCCTAAAAATTACTATTAAGAATATTATTTTTTAATTTAATGAATGTCAAATAGGGGCCTAATTAACTCATATGATCCATAATTATTTTATAGTGCAACAAAAAATTAAAATTAAAAATTGGACGTGATTATACATATATGAAATGAATAAGATATTTATTATAATCGACGATCATTATAACCATATGTGGCAAGACGGTAACATTAAATGATATGTTTGTTTTAGATTAGGGACATAGAATATATGTCATTGGATATACCATTCAATGTCATCCAATAATTATGATAGTTATTGATCGTGACAAATAGTAACATTTTTTTTAAAAATAGAGTGTGAGTTTGATTTTTCAATTACTTTATAAGGATTGCATTTAAATAAGTTAGAAATTCAATATTTCCTCTCTTAAATTATTTTTAAATTATATTTGAATTGATTCACTATCGATATACAAAATATATATTAAATAAAAGATGACAAATAAATAAATGTTTCTTAAAAAAAAATAGAAAGTATTTTTTAAAGGGAAACTTGCAAAAACAGTCCCTAAACTTTTTAATTTTTGTAGGTTTTACCTTAATCTTCAATTTGTGCCATGAAGGTCCCTAACCTTTCTGAAATATACATCTTGAGTCCAAATGGATGGAATTCATCCAATTTTTCGTTAGTTGACCAAGAAAATGATTTTGATCAGATCATTAATTATTTCTATAAGGGTAAAATGGTAACTTTATCTCTTTCCATATAAAAACAATTAAAAAATAATTAAATAAAAAAATCATCATCATCATCATCTTCCACCCACCCCACTCCATCCCATCCAAACCCACCTCTACCCCTATACACATCGTAGTCGACAGCCACCCATCACCTCGCAACCATCGCCCATAGCCGCCACCATCATAGCCAACACAAAGCAAAATCCCTAGAATGACAATCACAACACAAAAGTAAAACCTAAAACCAAACCCCTACTTCACATCCCCGTCCACAACCACTCAATGTCACCACTTTCGCACCACGATCACCACCAATGCAAAGCAAAATCCCCAAATCACAATCACAACACAAAACAAAACCCAAAACCAAACCCTGCTACCCATTGTCGTCCACCGCCACCCCCATTGCCCACAACTATTACTGCCAACAAAAAGCAAAATCCCCAAATCACAAACATATACCACAATTGCAATCACAACACATAGTAAAACCCCAAAATCAACTTTTATATTTACCTTTCGCCACCAAATTGATGAGTCGGCTGGAGTTGACACATCCACCACCCCATCTTATGCAAAACTTAATATCAAGAACTCCCCTTCACAAGCAACACTCTTCCCTCTTTGTACCTCCACCACAAACGATTCACCGGATTCCTCCACTTTCACTATAGGCTTCCATCTTCACCCCTACGTCCTCCGCTACCTTTCAAGCAAGCATATTACCCCTCAAAATATCAATCTTCGCCAGCCGCATTTGTGGAGTCAGTTCGGGATAGGAATAGATGCGATAGTAGGTTGCAGTGGTGACGAGATTGGTTTTCCCCATTTTTTGGTAGGTAGGGGTAGAATGGGGTGGGAAGAAATAGATACAAGAGGGAATATTTTTTTTCTTTCTTATTTAATTAATTAATTTCTTTTATTTTAAAATTATTAAGTTACTATTTTGCCATTTTACAATTTGGTAAAAATCTACTTCTCGGTCAAATAACGGTCAAATGGATGAAGTATTTCTTTAAAATTATAGTCGCTCTTGAAAACACCCTAACCGTCTAACTAGTAAAGTGAGAAATCTGACCCTGTTTAATATATTTAGAGTTTGTTTGAGCCCCATTTTTTTTTACCCAAAATGTATTTTGAAATTATATTTTGATGGAGGATGTAAGGTTAAAAAATAAGAAAAGTTTTAAATTTGCGTATAATATTATTTTATTGAAAAATACGTGATTGAAAATGTGAGAGAAAATATTTTGAAAATAATGAATTCAAACAAGGGCTTACTATTCAGACAGTTTTTATTAATGCCCAACTTTCTGGTTCTGCAAACGAGTTGGGGACTAGTGGTGTAATTTCTCCATTACATTTATATCTACTGCTGACTTCATTAATGCTAAGCATTTTTCACATTGCTTTAACCAAATAACATCCGCACATATATGACTGAAAGAAGATCCAAAATCAAGCTCAAATTGGAGCAGTGAAGTCACGAATGATCAACTGTAGCAACATCATGGCTTCTGCAATTTTTACTCCCAGTTCATCTTTGTCTTCTTCGTCATCAAAGCCCTCTCTGCGTGCTTTCTCAAATTCAGCAATTTTAATCCCCAAAAATTTGAATGTTCAGCATTTGAAATGCATTCCTCAACTGGGTCTCGGTCTTTCTTCTCCTTGGAACGGTCTTAAGAATCTGGGCATCTCAATCTCGCAACATTCTGTGAAAATAGGTACTGTTTTTATACCTTTATGGGCACGTGCTATTATTAACAGCACAAAAATTGTATGCAAATTATGTTTGTAAGTTTGTTATTGGTATATCCAAATAACAACCGAAATGGGTATCTCTAAATTCGCTTAGTCAAAATTTTTGCTCTAAGTGTTTTCGAGTATTTGAAGTAATGGCTTTTTGCAGAAAGAAAGGGCAAATGTAAAGGTAAGGGAGTGTATGCATCTCTATTTGGAGTTGGGGCTCCTGAGGCTCTGGTCGTCGGGGTGGTGGCTTTGTTAGTTTTCGGGCCAAAGGGTCTTGCTGAGGTTAGTTTCAACTCTTCCATTTTTGGGTTGGGGCAGGGGTATAGACCCTCTTTATCTCATGTATGCTGCGCATTTCTAGCTAATCTTTTGCATCATAATTTCTTTTTCACGATTACGTCTATTTGCACCAGTGGTGGGTATGACATACTCTCCAGTCAAGTTAGTAAAGAAGGATATCAATGACATTTGGTGGCTTGTCTTGCTGAATGCACTTGATTTGACAATGCTTATCCAGCTTTATTGCTGTTGCAACTTTGTTTAGATTCTTCTCTCTTATAAATAAAGAATTGACTGAATGCTCTTTTAGAGTTTTAGTTTTCACTTAACTTGTGTTAGATATAACAATTAGAGATCATAACAATGCAAGTTCTTGAGCGCTTAGGCAAAGCTTCATTTAATTACTTATACCCAAGTTATTATCAACTTCTTTTCTGGAGCTTAATGCAATACAGGGATCATTTACTCTTGCGACAAATAGAGATTCTGGGGCAACAAAGTAGCAACTTTTAAGTATAAAAAATAGCTCAAAAGATGCAATAAAGCGAATGCCTTGCTGCTTAATTCCCGCTTCGATCCTTTGGCTTTCTCCACCAGCTTGTTATCCGTCGTTCATCAACCCATAATTCTCTTTATTGTTTGAACAATTCTAACCATCCTCCACTATTCAAAAGATAAAGAGAAATAGCCCATGTTTGACAACCATTATAAAGATTTTTTTTTTTTGGGAAAATGAGTTTTGGAATAATGATTTTTTAAGAACATGTGATTAAAAAGTAGAAAAAAATTTGGACTTACGTGCAGAATATTCTATTGTGGAAATGTGCGGTTGAAAATGAGTTTGAGAAAAGAGTTTTGTAAAAATGGTTGTCAAACAGGGTCATAATTCAGAATAACCGTCGTTTTCTCATAAAATAAGGTATCATTCAATTTTGAACCTTACATTAAATGTAAAAGAAAAACCATGCATTTTCAAATTTTGCACCAACACTGCCCGTACATATCTTGTAGTCCTTTTTACTGGCGACACCAGTTGTTTAATACAAGCATTGGCTGTGTCACAAGAGATCACTGCCATTATGGAATTCTAAGACAATGGACATTCCCCATTTCCTGTACTTAATTTAGAGACGAGAAAGAATTTCGGCAGATTTACTACTACCATGCTTGCACAAAATTTAAGACTATTGATACACAAAATATAAGACTATTAATAGAAAGGAAGAAGTAACTTATATTTCGGATAAAGTAGTCCCCTTTAATTTTTGGTATCTTATCAATTTGCCAAATCTCCAATGGCAGAATAACAAATTCCTGCAAATCCAGCATCCACCATGTATGGTGTCCTCCCTTCTTTTCTGTCTAAAACCATAATCAAACCATAGTGCTCTTCTTCTACATGCAAGATCCTCTTATTCCATCAGTTATCTGATCACTATTTGTAGCCCAGCCTCAAGCATCATCTTTCATTTCTTGATCATCATAGATGACAATCCTTCAAAATGTAATCTTCCTATCATCAGAACTTCCACTTCAAAATTGGATCTCTTAGCAACAGATATCACTTTTAGATTGTTAGTAATATTTTGAGAGAGTATGAGACACCAAATTGAAGAAAAAACCCGGAAAAAGGAGGCAGGAAATGTGTATTGAATATGCTTTCCTAAAAGCGGTATTTACACCCTCTCGGTAAGCAATTTCTTTTGAGTTCACTTTGACAAATAGCTTTCACAGATATGACTAGCCTTCGGCTAGTTTTCACAAAGGAAAAATGAAAACTCATGAAAGGAACTTCAACACTTACATTTTTGAAATTCGAGATTTCTTTGGAAAGAAAGAAGATGCATTTTTATGTTCTTAGCACCCAAAAATGATCCCCAATCACATATATATTGCCTCTGTTTTGTGTTGCTAAAAACCATATTTTTAGTAGTTTTTTATTGATGAAATGTTTGGTTGAAAAATTGTGAGTCCCATGAAATGTGTGGTTAAAATTAATTGTTATTTTAAACTACACGAAACAAGGGCATGGTTTAATGGCGCCTTATTATCACAACAACGGTATTGAGGTGATTTTCCATGAAGGGGCAAAGCTTCACACCACAATTTAAATCTAGTTTCTGTCTATTATGGCTCTTGCTGGAGCGAGAGTCAAAGAAGGAACCATTTAAAGATTTTTCTTCTCATTGCATCTGCATTGGTCCCTTTATCGAAATTGCAGATTAAGCCATGCATGTGTATTTATTGTATCTCAAGATTGTTAACTTTCATTCAAGTTTATGAGTTAGTCCCTTTGAAGACACAAGCTTTCACAAAGTAGATATTTAAGTCTTAATCTATCCCTAAAATTGTAGGGACAGATTTTTGTGATAGAAATAGTGATTTGTCATATTTGTTTGGAACAATGAAAGTTGGAAATATGATTAAATGTCTACTCCATAAATATTGTGGTGGGGTAGCATTTCTAGTAAAAGTTTAGATCTACTTTTGAGGCACCGTTTGGTAACCATTATTCTAGAAAAAAATGTATTCTTTGTGTCAAATCACACCTTTTTTGTGGTTGAAAATGAAGGAAAAGTTATTGATGTGATGGAAAATATTATTTTATTGATGAATGTGTGGTTGAAAATTAGTAGAAGAATGAGAATGAAAAAAAGAATG